GTTTAGTCCTGGTTTAGACCTGATTTAGACCTGTTTTAGTCCTGATTCAGTCCTGGGCACATGTGGTGTATGTATGTTCTGTAGGTGATCATGAATGGCATTAATCTTAATAATATGATTCCACATAATTTTTTTGTGAAAAAAAAAACTTTAAATATTACTGATTTTTACCGGGCTGCTGCATTTATGTTTGTACTGAAAGTGTTTTTTGGTCGGTTTTGTTAACAAACAAACGGCATGTCAAGTTGAGTATATGGCATTCTGGGGTGGAGGTGGATGGGTGGGGTCAGGGTTCATAACATCGATGATGTCAGGAATCGCGTATGCCCATTTAAAAATCCCCACTACACCACTGTTTATATAAACCAGAACCTTATCTATTTTTGAGTAGCTGAATTTGATTAGTGACTGGTTTTGAACATAGCTAAAGGGGATTCAGATCCATGTACTCTATATTAAACATAAGTCTGTCCCAATCTTACGATCAACTCTGATTTGAATAGCAAAGATTTACACATGTCAGAAGTTTGACTAAAGTGACATTTTCATGACATGCTACAACGTAAATGTTTTAGTGGCTGATTGTTGAACTGGTTCAACAGCTATCATATGTGACAGATGAGTCGGTGTCGTCTTAAAAAACTGTTCTCAGGCTTTTTTTTCTCAGAATAGAACAGATCTGCTCCAGTTTTAAAAATGAGGAAGGCCCAAACCTTAAACTCAACCTCAACATAATCAGAACAAAATAAGAATGAAACAGAAAGGAAATTTAGGCAAAAAAGAAAACAGTTATAGATTGGGCCTTCAAACTGCATTACATTTGCAAAACAATTAGCATTTTGTTCCATTCAGAATGTATGGCATTTTTCATATTTGTACCAAATTTGGAAATAAAATTCTATGAACAACTAGAAGCAAAAACATCCATCTTGGATTGGAATTTTCAAAATGCTGAGTCAGCATTTTCTCTCACGTCGCATTTTCATCAACTCTGAAGGCACTTCACCCACAGGGCTGAAAATCTCTGTACATCATCTAGTGAACTGGGACATCAAAAGTTAGCCATTTATTATGATAACTCACGGTTTATAAGGCCGCAAATTTAAATCGATTTTTTTTTTTTTTTTTTTTTTTTTTTGCAATGTCAAAATTTGCTCCTGTTCGAGCAAGTCCAATTGGGCTCAAATTTGAATTTGTTGTAAAACTTTCGTTCCAAAACCTACTAACTGTGACACAAACAAAAATGTTGTGATAGCGCCCCCAACAGAACAAAACAGAACAAAATTTAATTTAACTTTTTCAAAAATGTATGACATTTTCCAGAGTTACCTTGGGTTATCTCAATCAAAAAAGTCAATGAAAACCATATGGTATTTTTAACTGTGTTGCCATGGAGATGCATAAAAGCTCTAATGTTATCCTAATCGGAGAGATCAGAAAAAATCTCATTCATGATAAAAATATTAGTATCGTGGGATATTGTGAAATTTGGCACAATGACTCTTCATGTCATTCTGATCAAAAAAGTCAGTGACAACCATATGGCATATTTCACTGGGTTGCCATAGAGAGGTGTGCCAATGTTAAATTAATGGCAAAATTTCCAAATTTTCTTACATTTCTAAGTGAAAAGACAACTTATTTGTTTGATTGAAGAATGTAAAATTTGGCACGCACGGTATTGCTATGGCGATGCCCCAAAGTGACCATTTTTATCTATGTTAGCACATCAACATCTCCAATATGTGCTGACTTGATGTGTTTAGTGACAAGCACAGCCCAAAGCCACAATAACACAGAAACTAGTGGCGCTTCAGCTGTCAGACGCCGTTCGATGCCGCTTGTGGCTTTAATTGTGAATGTGAAGTCAGTTCTTGTATTGATTTGAATATTCCTTGTTGTATGACCCCATAGAAAAGGAAGGTAAAAAAAACAAACAAACTTACATCATTAGCATTCCCTCTGGTGTTATTACCCTGCCATTGAGTGTACACTTTTGCAGGTTGTATTGTGAACAGGTGGCAGGTGGTTTACTCATCTGGCTTCATTATCTCGCGTGTACCTGTTTAGGTACCTGGCTAAGGCTTGTAGCCTTTGTTTGGCAGTTTCAAGTGCTTCATGTATGGGCATCTGGCTGTACCTCCTGGGTACTAGCTCTTTCATTGCACTTTTCTGGGCATCTGACAATTGGCTCACTTCTCTCCATGCTTCTGTGACTTTAGCCTCTAACCGTCTGTTCCATGGTGGGTATTGTTTCTCATGGCTTCTAGATTTATCTAGAACACACTGACACACACTGTGTGTTCAACAGGTCAGCAGACAGGTGATCACGTGTTTTGATAGTCATGCCCTATTTCATAACTGTTATTATCTTTTTTTGATTGTTCCTTGTTCCTTGGAATATGATTGTATCAAACCATAAAAACACATTCCTTATTTGTTAAAGGCTTTTACTGTCAACAGTAAAAAGCATATTAGGCCCAAGCCCCTACTAGCCAGGTTGGCGCCACCTAGTGCCTCCGCTCAATTTCATTTCTCTCCAGCGACTAGGTCAGGAATCAGATTACACTAGACGGTTTGCAAAAATGAGTCCGGGCGCCAGCCAATTAGTGAAGAGTCATACATTCTGAGTTTGCAATGATTTAAAGGATTTAAAGCTGGAATAAAGAGAATATTTGGTGAATTTTATCAAGGAGAAAGACGTTATTGACCTTCTTCCTACGGGATTTGGGAAAATCTTAATATACCAGTTAGCCCCGTTAGCGGCACATTACATACATCACGAACAAATAGCAGCGATTGGTTAAATGAAAAAAGTACCCGCGTACCGTCGAGCGAACGAATCCTAATGCTGTGAGGTCAGGCGATTTCCATGAAGTGAAACCAGCTGATGAATCAGGCTAAGCCCTACAGGGCATAAGGCCTATTGCTTTCACAACGATGAGTGCATGGGTCAAGCACGATGAGTGCATGGGCCAATTCTTACGAAGCTGATCGCTTCGCTCTCAACTTCCTGCTGTACCTGCATTGTTAATGTCTTCTTTAGTTTATATTTAACTTCAGTTGTGTATGCAGAGTAAATGATGCTCATTGTAATGAAATAAGGCTTTATAGAGAACTGGAAATTTCTGAAAATTTGTCTTGGAGCAAAGACATTTAAGTTTAAGGAAGTTTCGTGCTCTTCTGATCAGATATCTGTGACTATTTTCCACAGAAATGAACTGTTCAGCAAAAAAATGATGTCTGTTTTAAAACTATAGCATTCCAAATGAATAAGATGAGCCATAGCTGGACTCTGTTGGTGACTGTGTTATAGGTTATAGGTGCTATACGTTACAATGGTCATGTATAATATATTACGATAGATGTCTCCTCCTCCACATACCTGCTCTAAGGCCTGTATAAATACTGACGGCACAGGGCTGCACCACACCTCAAGCACATCTCTGCAGGTAAGGCACTGCTCAAGTCTTTACTCAGTACACAGGGGTGTTTTATAGCCTAAGATAAGAAGCTATTCATACTCATGTATGTACTCATGTACTCTATACTCATTTCAGTGCTTTGGCTTGTTTTGGCCATATGTAGGTGGGTGGGTCTCCAATTGACCAGAAAAATATTTAAATTTTATGCCAATTCAAAATCTCTACTGATGGTCTCAGTTATTTTTAAAAGTTGAATTAATCTGCTTATTCAAAATCAAAATAGTGTAAATATTTTGTGTTTCGTGTTAATAGCTGTAGTGATATAATTTGGATTCTAAAAGTTTCTAAAATTCTAAAATGGCTCCTATGCAGGGCTCCATAGTACTCAGTTACATTTACTTGAGTAACTTTTTAAAGAAATTCTATGTGTCAGAGTACTTTTCTAGAAGCATACTTTTACTCTTATAAAAACAGACAGCAGGATCCAGCAGTTACTATTTAAGTTGCTAATTACTTGGGTATTAGTTTTCTCAAATACTTTTTTACTCTTAGTTGAGTAATTTCTTGAACCTCTAGTTTATACATGAATATTTTTGTATATTTTCTTTTATTTTTCTGAAGTTACATTACACTTACTTGAGTGCAATTTTTACTACTCTACCCACCTCTGCTCCTAAGTCAGACCAAGCGAAAAACACACAAGGTTAATAGAAACAACTGAACGCTCACAAGAAGCCATTTACTCATTTACAATGTGTGATGGCTATTATAGGTCACTTTGGAGTTGTAAACAATGCAAAGTACTATGACATATTATATATTATATTGTTTATATAAAGACATAGCTGTATTAGTTTTGTCTGTGTATACCTAAATATAAATTAATAATATACAGTAAATACAGTAAAACAGACCTGGACTTGTGTTTTGTTTCAATGACAACTGTTTGAGTATTCTTTGCGTTATTAGTCTGTCTGCATCTGTACAGCTCAAAATGCTTTGTTCCACCTTGTGATGTCATGTAGTGGTAGTTTTCAAGTTAACAGCTACCTTTAACCTTTGGTTCAGTAGAGAAATCATCCAAATAATGATTCTAGTCAAGGTGAGTTTACTTCTTGTATTACCACATGACATCACAAGGTAGGTTTTCAGTTTGAGAGAATAATTCAGCCTAAATATGCAGGGTTTGTGTGTTATACATATGGGAATGAAGCAAAACACAAGTCTAGGTATGTTTCTGGTGCGAGAACAGTATAACGTAGATTAGAAAACAGAGTAATATGGATTCTTTAAGTGTACTCTTTGACAGCACTATACTTTGTTGCTTAACACAGTGACATGCAGTTAACAAAGAAATAAGTTCAAATCCAGGTCAAGCTACTCTCTCTTTACCATGTCAACACCACAGTTATTGTAAACAAGTGGCACAAAGCCTCAACTCAAAAAGCACTTAAGTCATATAAAGACACATTACGTAACATTTGCATTACCTTGATAAACAGCTTTAGGCCAGTATACATATATTATTGTCATGTATTTTAATGCTATGTCTTTCATATTTGTTGCAGATGTGATTATTGGGAGTTGGTGATAGACTGGCTGAAGGACTTACAATGGCAGGTACAGTAAGTGCATGCACTCAGCACATCAATATTTCAGCTGGAAACTCTCAGACCATAAATGTGTCGGAACTGAAAGACTTTTTGGTGATTTACTGATCCAAGTGTGTATATTTTTTATTTTGCAATTAATAAGGCTGTGGAAATAATAATTCGTAGTGGCTTTTTGTATGTTATAGGACCCATATTACACCATATTCTTAACTGTAATAGTGCTGTTTCCTCATCACAAACATAGCTGGAGTTTTGCAACACTTTGGGGACAGGAGTGCTACTTAGATATACAAAAATTGTGCAGAATTGTCCTTTTGGTGCTCTTCAGTGTAGGGACCAGTCTCAAATAAAAAGTAGAAAAAACTGAGGCACTCAATAAGTACAAAATAGTTAAAAGCCTTCAATACCACATGATAAAGTTAAAATCCCGCCAACGTGTTTCGGCCCTTCGGCCTTCATCAGGGCAAACTCGAGATAGATATCACAGTGCAGATTGAAAGTAACAAATGTAGGTCACAAATTTCTCCCATGGGAGACAATAAAGGATTATCTTAACTTATCTTACCTTATCACATGTTCACAGTGGGCTGGTCCACAGTTCCCTGGAGCATGATGGGACAGGTAGGCTGAACAGATTTTAGTTACAAGCTATTTAAGTATTGTTTTGTTTCATTCACGTATGTTTAACACAGAAAGCCCTGCATATTTAGGCTGAAAGCACTCTGTTCCACCTCATATCATGTGGTAATACAATGAAGTGGTCCACTGTGTTTTTAAACTCCATACACCTTCACTAGAATCATTTCATTGCCAAAGTAGAATGGAGTGTTTTCTGTTTGAGAGAAGAACTCAGTTTAAATATGCAGGGTTTGTGTGTTAAATGTGTGTGAATGAAACAAAACAAAACTCCAGGTATGCATTTGATGAGGAAACATTATAACATAGATCAGAAAACAGTACAATACTTGATTTAATACTTGATTATTATTCCAGATGCCAGTTTTAAGCGCGAGTTCCTGGATGCCCATAACACATACCGGTCACATCACAGCGCCCCTCCCCTCAAACTGAACTCGGAGCTGTGTGGAGAGGCTCAGAGGTGGGCCAACTATCTCCTTCAGAAGAACATCATGAAGCACAGTGACACCAGTGACGGAGAGAACATCTACTGTTACAGCAGCTCAGCACACATCAAGCTCACAGGTCAGAGGGGCCTGCAAAACAAAGGGAATTTAAAAATCACTGTGTAACTTTTTCGGTTGGAGGTCTGTCACCTACTTGTTTCTATGGATATGTCATTGCTCTGCCTGGAACGTTCCACAGTGTGACATCTTAAAGAGGTTCCTGGTTAAGTCCTGGTTTAGTTCTGGTTTAGAAATGGCTCACTCCTGGTTTAGTCCTGGTTTATTGTGGGTTTAGTCTTGATTTAGTCCTGGCTTAGTCCTAGTTTAGACCTGGTTCAGTCCAGGTTTAGTCTTGGTTTAGTCCTGGTTTAGACCTGGTTCAGTCCTGGTTTAGACCTGGTTCAGTCCTGGTTTAGGCCTGGTTCAGTCATGGTTAATCCTGGTTCAATCTTGATTTATCCTGGTTCAGTCCTGGTATAGTCCTTGTTTAGTCTTGTTTAGTCCCTGTTAAATCCCTGTTAAGTCCTGGTTTAGTTTTGGTTTAGTTCTGGTTTAGTCTTAGTTTAGTCCTGGTTCAGTTGTCCTGTTTTAGTCCTGATTCAGTCCTGGTAAAGTCCTTGTTAAGTCCTGTTTAGTCTTGGTTTAGTCCTGTTTTAGTCCTGGTTCTGTGCTGATTTAATCCTGGTTCAGCCCATCTCATGTTAGAAATATTGTAATTATACAACATGCACTGTACCAAGGCAAAAAAAAAAAAAAACCTGAAGCACAGTTCCCACAATTCAAGTGCCTTAATTTTCTTTCTGTCTGTACTCATCAAGAGGCTATTAACTTATGACTGACAGTGGTTGTTATTACTTATTATACACTGCAGGCTGAATGCTAGAAGGGATTCTCTGATGCATAAAGTCTGTATAAACCAGAGTGACAACAAACCGATCTGCCAAAACATATGTTCTTTATTTGTTCTGTATCTACATCTAAAATAACACTGAAAAGCGTTTATCACGTTACTCAGCCTGACATGTCATCTACACATCCAGTACAGACACTGAGTCATAGGTCTTTCTTTGACAGTTTGACAAGTTCTTCAAAGAAATCCATAAATCAAAATACGACTATATTTGCATTTTGCATTGCATTGCATTTTTTTAAGAGGGAATTGGATTTCAGCATTGAAACTGGCAACTCATATTCTTCTTATGAGGCTCATTCTACTTTCTGATTGAATAATTGTCAACATAAATAAATGGGACGTGTCCAATATTTTTTTGTGTAATGAAGAATAAATCAGCATAAGCTATACAATATATAATGTGAACCTTGTTTACCTTGTATTTTGGGACGCAGATTGGTCAAGTTTATGAAATATTCATTCAGAATTTTACATTCCCTGCTGGGGACAGTAGTGAACACAGCTCGATGATAAACTAGAACAAACTACAAAACAAATACATACTTCCCTCACCAAACTTTTCTTGATTTTCATGAATCCATGTTCTTTTCCAACAGATGCGATCTAAAAACCGCCGTAGGCGCCTCCATGTTTGTTTATTTGTTGTTCTATTTCGCCGTTTTGGTCAATTCTCAAATTGACCTTTTAGCGCGCCCTCTGGTGGCTGCTTAAGAGAACACTGTCTTGATATTCGAAGTTTGGAAGTGTTAGATATGCAGATGAAACAAATGCATCTATTTACGTAGAAAAGTGGAGCATAAATTAGCTTTTAAAGTTATATTTAAAATATAAGATTAAAAGTCCATGCAATTTGGCTGTTAGCACTGCCAACACCACGATACAACTCAACTTTGAGGCCAGCAGCTACTGTCTCTCTATGTAAATGTTCTCATTCCATTCAGCGTCACCGATTCTGCTGACAAAACGATGTCAAGTATTTGAAAAAGCTCATGTAATGCTTGGTTGTTAACATAGGGTGACCATATTTCCGTTTGTGAAAACCCGGACACCTTTAGAGGGGGGGGTTCTCGTATTTTTTTTTTTTTTTTTTTTTTTTTGTGCAATTTTGCATTTTTTTACAGCGTATGAACGCGTATTGTGTATTACAGGCGGGTAGTAATTACATACGGGTGGGTCAGGAGTAAAACAGGTCTAAACCAGGACTACTTCTGGACTTAAGAGAGAAAACGCCGAGCAGTTTGTCCACAAAGCGCGATCAGGCAATTCCCGCGTTTATCTCCGTGAGGTACGGAGCTGAGCCGGTCTTTTCTCCTGCCGTCACCCCCGAGCCCGCCCCGATAGTGAGTCCTGTTTCAGTTCTGGTTTAGTCCTGGTTACCTCCGCCAAGGAGGTTATGTTTTTGCCGGCGTTTGTCTGTCTGTTTGTTTGTCTGTTTGTTTGTTTGTTTGTCTGTTAGCAACATAACTCAAAAAGTTATGGACCGATTTTGATGAAATTTTCAGGATTTGTTGGAAATGTGAAAAGGAAGAACTGATTTCATTTTGGGGGTGATCCGGAAGAAATCCTGGATTCTGGATCACTTTGAAATTTTAGTTAACATTGTGGTAAATGGGGCCAAAAATTGTGTTTCTCAATATCTCGGTTAATTATTGACCAAACCCCATGAAATTTGACTCAGGGATGGACAATGGGATCCTCTTTCATATTCCAAAGGCTGATCCGGATCTGATCCACAAGACTGATTTTATCGCAATTTATATAAAAAATGGGGGTAGTCCTTGGCGGAGGTCTGCGCTCTCTGAGCGCTTTTCTAGTTTAGTCCTGTTTTAGTCCTAGTTCAGTGGTGGATTAGTCCTCCTCTTCAGTCCTGGAATCAGTCCTGGTTTAGTCTTGGTTCAGTCTGTGGCGTAGGCAGCGCAAAAATTTGATATAATCTCGGGTTAACGGGCAGGTGCGGTCCTGTCCTGCGCGGGTGCGTTGTTGTACTGGGGGTCTCCAAAAATGGAGCACATGTCCTCCCACTTGTCCCGACCGGGATGGAAAACGGAGAATTTCTTGTACAAGTCATTGTTAAATGGGCTTTTGTGCTTCGGTCTGTTGCAGACTGACCGACTGTTTGTGTCTCGCTCCTTCTGAGTCACAGACGCTACGAGAGACGCTCAGTTTAATGAGCGGTAATGAAAACCCGGACATTTGCATCACTTTATAAAAATTAAAAAAACCCGGACGCTTGGTCACCCTAGTTAACATGACCCTTTCTGTGCCTTAAATGTGTCTTGTATACGTGTCTTGTGTCTTCTACAGGCAGAGAGGCTGTGGATTCCTGGTACAGTGAGATCAAGTTTTACAGCTGGAACAGTCCAGGATACAGCAGCAAAATTGGTGAGTCCAACATTCTTTAAGAGGTTTTGTGTTACTAGTTCATACAGTAGTAAGTTAGTGCAATACAGAGATATGTTCTTTTGTCTACGGCAATGGTTCTCAAACTGTGGTGGCACCATATACTGTAGGCCTGTATATAAATGGATCTGGCTAACCCGCTGGTTCCAAAATAAGAAGTGAGCATGGTTGAGCTTCCGGCTCCATCAACTCCAGTTTACCCTGAAAAATTGTCACCTCTTATTCTTTAACTACTGCAGTGAACCTCATCGTTTTGGTCTTAAAATGTTATTTTGTCCGTAAATAAATGATTATTCCTAATATGGAACTCGGCTCCAAATTCGCCCCTAAAATCACCTCGTGAGCTTCATCTGAGTGGAGCTGAGCACCATGGATGATGTCACACATTCGTAGTTCACTCTTTATTCTTCATTCAGCATCTGGGTGGTACACAAGCCTTTTGTGGGTAGTGCTGACTTAAAGGTGCATTACGTAATTTTTCTGGAGAGCTCAGTCCTGATGTAGTTTTACTTTTCAGGGTGGCTAATGTTCAACATATCTCTCCAGAATTGATTTCATTACAAACTTTTTTATTGCTCACGTCTCCCCAGATATATAGCCTAAATACAGTTGAGTTGAGCTAATTGAGTTGAGCTGTCTTGTTTATCTTTTTTACACACTGTTTTGCCTGCAGGCAAGACACTTCACTCGTGTCTGAATGGTGTAACTTAGGCTAAAATGTACTATGTCAGGTTCATAAAGACAGGAACTATGTGGTAACCCCTTACGCCTGAATTTCTATACATGTATATAAAAAAAGTTTTGCGTGTGTTTTTGCCTTTAAGTAGATGGTAAATTAAGATGAGATTATTCATTTGGCTATAGCAAAAAAATAAAAAATAGAAATTTGTGTATGCTGCAAATTTGCACCAACTAGAAACATGTGTGCCAAAGGTAAAAATATACTCAAATGGGAGTAAAGTATTCTGCCGGAAGGGCACTCTGAAAAGTAAAATTTCTTCAGAAAAAATACTTGAGTTAATGTTGACTTGAGTTAAACTGAGTAAATGTAACTCAGTGATGATACCTACCCCTGCTAGGGTCTAATAGAAATGATCAGAACTGTCAACAGCTGATATACGACACGTCACCACCAACACCGGTGACAGTTCTGATCATTTCTATTAGACCCTAGCAGGGGTAGGTATCATCACTGAGTTACATTTACAGTTCTGAAGATGGCTTGCAGCAGCAGCCGAAACATGTCAACAAGGTAAATACACTTTACTGCATTGTCTTTAAAAAGAACCTAAGAAGTTAAAGTATATAAGAAGACAAAATGAACATCATTGGCTTAATAAGGAGAAATGATCAGGTTCAATATTTGCGTTTATTTTTTCTTATTATTATATTTCTTGTGAGAAGAATACTGTGTAATCGAATAGGAAGAGCTGTCTATTGCCCCTGTTCTGGGAGTATGGCATCACATCTCGACTCTGAAAACAGTTGGAGACAAATAAATATGTATCTGTGCTGTATCTGTGTAAACTTAGACTTAGACTTTGATAAACTTTATTGAGCCACAAGGGAAATTACTTGGACACAGTAGTTCTAAATAAATGGCAAAAATAACAAGAGACTGGTGTCAAATAAGGCATAATAAGGTACATATAAATGTATATACAGATAAAATAAAAATAGAAGTAATACGTTGTTGTATTGTTGTGTATTGTTGAGTCCTCCCCTCTCTTCTGTCCCAGGACACTTCAGTCAGGTGGTGTGGAAAGACAGTGAGGAGGTGGGAGTGGGTGTGGCCTCCAGTGGGAAAAAGGTGTTTGTGGTGGGACAGTACCGACCGGCCGGGAACATGAACAGCCCCATGTACTTCCAGCAAAACGTACTCCCAAAAGGTAATTTCAACATTTCCCCATTTCGTGTAGACTAATAAAGTAATAATAACAACGTGAGACCACTGCGGGCTGTCTGTATGTGATTATTATCCATGAACCAGGAAGTAAGGCTGGTGCACTGTTTACAGTGAAAGCAAAATTTCCTGTGGCCTCTGAAAGTTTGAGAGCTTAAAAAATCACTGCGTGAATAATTAGGATGATAGGAATGAGTGCAATAGAAGTAATTTAAAACGTTTCCTTTTTTCCTCTTTCAATTTATGTTTTTTGAAATTATAGGCTACTTTGAGTAACACAAAATATCCCAATAAGAACACAGCCATTTTGCACTTGTCTCTTCAGTTGCAGGTAGCAGTAACATCATTCCCAAAAGTCCTGGCTCAAATCCAGGATCAGGATTTGAACCTGGAGAGACCAAAATGATCTGCTGCACCCTGATGTAGAAGACCGGAATAGCACTTTCATTGAAGAAGACTTTTTACACAGTATAATAAATATATAGAAACATAAATATAATGATCATGTTGCCAATGTAAATGTATTTTTATTAAAGCTTGCTTTTGTTGAATATGTTCTGCCTTCATGTAGAGTCAAATAATGTGAGGATAAGACAAAACACAAAAAACACAAAAGAGTTTTTTTGTTTTGTCCAGTCTGTTGAAACATTTACGCTTTATCTGGCTTCTTTGGGAAAGTGATTTTATAATAAACTATTGAATTTGAAGTGCCTATCTGTAAGTATATATGTGAGAAGGATATTTTAAATCAGCTTTATGATTTATATTAAATTAATCAATGTGTAATACATTTTATAACTTGTCAAAATCAAATCTTCAGAAACTACTGTGAGGCTAGGTAAACTAAGTATTGTTGGGCTTTTGGTGGTTTGGCAAAACACTTCACCAAGCTTACCTACTATAAATGTGGTGTGTGTGAGTGGTGATGGTGAGAGGAGCTGATGGGACAGATTGGTAGCCTCACTCAAAGTAAATTAACATTAAAGTAAATCATATATATAAGATTATAAACTTAGCTGGTTTTGATCTGCAGACAACCCTTGCAGGTTGTTACAGAAAGTAAATATACACATAATACATACTAGACCACACTGTATATCAAAGTTAGATCATAAACTTTCTGTTTTCAAAGTTAATTTACACTGAATATTGTGTGCTGTGGGCTGGTCTTACCTTGTACTCCTTCAGTTGGGGCCTGGTTGTCACAGTGAAGGGTCCAGATCTGATGAGATACACTGTCTTTTGGGAGAAAATACACAAATGTTTATTTACGTATTAACAACACCTTGAAAAGATATGTACAACTTTGGACACCATGTTTAGTACAGCCCAATGACGGATTATAAATGCAAATGAGCATCAATATGCAAATTGATCTACATTTTTATATTTTTTTTCATCATCTAATTGAAAAAATGATTTACAGGTTACAGTTACAGTCTCCAGTTTACAATGCATATATATAGCCATATCTGTTCACTGATGGCCAACAATTCTGTATGCTGTTCTGTAAAATGGTTTATATTCTGGACTATTAAAGATGATTTCATTTCTTTCATTTCTTCACTTTTTACCCTTTTTGAGGTAAAGACAGCAGACGGCATTCACCAGACATGAAGTGTTCTATAGGAGCCAGTAGCAGCCCTGAACATGTCTGTGCAGGCACATAGTATAACATTAGTTTGTAATAGCTTATAAATGTCTATTAAAAACAGGACTGTTAAAAAGTAAGACCTTTTCCTGCAAATGTTGACGTATTCTCTCCATTATTGAGTTTTACCTGTGCTTTTTGTGAACTTTCTGTAAAACACTTGTCACTGTAGTTACACAGGCAAAGGTCTGTATATTTTAGTATCCTGATGTTTTTGGTGTTCTCTAACTGAAAGCAATGGATTGTGCAAAAAAAAAAAAAAAAAAAAAAAAAAAAGGAATAAAGAGCTGCACAAATAAGTGTGAATGAAACAAAACATTGCTCAAGAAAGTTTTTAATAACCTAGGACCTTTAATTTTTGTAGCATTTGAATGATATCTTTCATTTTTGATTTGTAACTGCTCTTACAATGTCATTATTTGTGACATGACTTCTCTTTTATAGTTTGCATGTTTTTTTTGTTTTTTTTTAGTAGACCTATCCCCTGTTATGTTCACCTGGATCTGCAGACCCTCCCTGACCAGTCCTCCTGTTAAAATGCACTGAGACCTTTGACCTCTGACCTCTGATGGAGACACAAAGGAGAGTGAGAAGCAGCTAAATGCATAATACATAAATGTGGAGTGCGTTTGTGAATAATCACCACTAGAGGGAGCCTGTGCTACACTGTGAACGCTGCCTGGGATGATATGGGCTAAGCTTATACAAGTTTTCCATGGGACAGAATGTACTTGAATCTGACACACAGCAAAAAGAGAGAAGTGAACTCTGCTCAACACTCACGAGGTACAGATATTTTCAGTTATAGCCCAAATAGCCTCTAGATAACATATTAAAACTGATCATAATTTTTAACGAATCCATATAACACAAATTCACATTCATCATTTTAATAAACACAACAATAGGCTACTAATAATGAACATAACCTTGGATATGTTGAAGGGACCATCATTTCAAGAAGTATATAATAATAACTCATGATAAAGCTGATTTATGACATATAAAGCATGTATATTTGGTAATACTAATCAAATTTATAAATTAATTAAGTATAATAGTTACAGTAGTTACAGTGTTGATTAGTGAATAGTGCTTCCTAGTGCTTCATCTGTTGTATTTCACACTTATGGCCAATCTAATTATTATATAACATTGCAAAAAAAAAAGTGGGTCATGTTGTACTGAATGGATAGTTCTTACTTGCATTGCTCTAAGGGTTGATAACTAGGATTTCACCAGGCCTTTATAGCTGTTTACCCTGTGGTGAAACTGACTGGATATAAGCCAATCAATGACATAATGTAGATCAAATAAAATAAAAAATAAAACTGAAGTGCAAGCTCCAACATTAACAAAACATATCAAAGCAGGCAGTGCACTATTTGGCCTTTTAAATGTTTAAAAGCAATTCTTTTTTGGATGCATGGTACTTTTTAACTTAAAATCCTACCCTCACTGCTCTAGAACTCAGTCTAAACAATAACAGACTGCATTTCCCATAATTCTTCATGCTTCCTGTCCTCACCCTTTTCATGTTTCTCCTATAGCTGTACAATGAAGCTTCTTGTTTTTTTTTTTTTTCTGTAAAGCAAAACTTATTGTATAAAACATTAACTCAACTGCAATTATTTTATCTTTTTGTTTTTTAATTCACTTTTTTACTACATAGCTTATATTTTTACAGCTGTAACTGCAATTTCTACTAAACAACCATTCACTTTATCTTGCATTTTACCAAACTATATGAAGCAGTGAATAGATGAGTGATAGAGTGAGTGAATGAATGAACGGTTAGACTCCGCCCCTTGCTTGCGTTGGCAGTGTCATGGCCGCCTTTGGTAACATGAGACCCGGTGTGATGCAGGATGGGGCCGTGCAACTTCCCCCTCTGTCTAGGCCAGAGGAAGAAGGAGAGGAGAGGAGGAGGGGGAGAAGGAGAAGAGAGAGAGAAAGAGAGAGGGAGGGATAGGGGCAGAGGGGCATACTTCACTGCTGACTAGTGGCTCTAGCAAATGGGACTTTTCCTGAGTCACCTCCCCACAGTGGGCTCTTAAAGACACACACACGCACACACGCAAGGGTTACGGCTGCTAATGTTAACTTATTCACAAGTATTTGGTCATCCTTTGTGTGTACCTCATGCAACATTTTCATACAACTCCAATTTAAAGGTCTTATACTACCCCAAAATTGCCTCTTGTGAGCTTTAAGTCATGTTATAATGCTGTTACTAGTCTTGTAGTTAAGGCCGCACTAATTGAGACCAAGACCAGCCTGAGACCACAAGGTCCAGAGACCGAGACCAGACCAAGACCTCTGAGAGTTGGAACCGAGACAAGACCAAGACTTTTAAAGGCCAAGACCGAGACAAGACCAAGACCACAGCCTAGCAAGACCAAATCAAGACCATCTTTGTCATTTCTTATATTTATTTGTATTTTACAGTTATTTTGGCACACTTATATCAATGTTTTTATAAATCTATCTACATTTTATCTGATGAAAGTTTATTTAAGTTTAAAATAAGATCTGCGCCTCTTTTTTGGACCCGCACTCACAGAACCCCTTCTTTATTCCCACTTCCACTGGCACTTTACAGAAAACAACTTCAAGGTGAATCAAGTGTTTTTTTAAAGTTCTTCACATTTACAGTAACATTATTTTACTGGTTTTGCGGTGATATTTAGCAGTTCGGCTCATTTACCAGTCATAAGGAAATATGATTGCACTCGTCAAGTGTCAGATCTCAAGATCGAGTCCAAATGCACTCGAGTCTGAGGCAAGACCAAGACCATAAAAAAGTGGTCTTGAGGACCATGACACTAGGTTGTTACCCCCTCAAAACCTGGAGCTGTGTTGTTTCATTCACACATGTTTGAGTAACTCTTTATTGTTAGTCTGTCTGCATTTCCAAATCTCAAAATGCTCTGTTCCAACTCCTGATGTCATGTAGTGGTAGTTTTCAGGTTAACAGCTCCTTTTACCTTTTGTTCAGTAGAGACTAGCAATTAAAGAGGTGAAATCATCCAAATGATTCTAGTGAAGATGTATGGAGTATAAAAACACAGTGGAGCACTTTCTGTATTTCCACATGACATTACAAGGTGGAACAGAAAATAACGTGATATGGGCCCTTTAACTTCTCCCTCATTTCTTTACAAATAATTAGATAATAATAAAATAATAAAAGGGAGATTACAGTTTCAAAGGTTGCAGGAGGTTTTACTTTCACAACTGTGTTTATATGGTGTTATCTATACTGTAGATTGTATCAGTGCAAGTGAGGTCATATTAATGCAGTTCAATATCTTGAAACCTGATAGGACTGAGTCTTGAAAAACTACACAGATCACAGTATTTGTATTTGGCGGATGTAAACGGGCTGGCCTGGAGCTGAATAACGTCCTATATTATGAAAATTTGAGCTTTGAGCACCTGTTACCTTTTGTTTTGTTTGAGTAACCCTTGTCCAAAGCTCAAAATGCTCTGTTCCACATTGTGATGTCATGCAGCAGTTTCATGTTAACTTTACCTTGGCAATTCCAGGGCTGAAATGATCCAAATTATTCAGTAAGAGTAAGAGCAGAGGCTAAAACACAGCTCCTTAATCTTCTAATGGATAAATACTTCTACAACTACCATTCCTGTCTAGTAAAATATTCATTGTATCAGAAAACATCCAATTCAAACCCATTCAAAAAGTACTATATATACACTGAGTTTAACATGTCAGAGTCATGTATGAGAGTATGTGTTTAGGTATGGTTGTTCTCGTTTTTCCAGCTTTGCTCATGTACATTTTTAAAAACATGTGACACAACTTTACACACACAAGTCACGAAGTAAAATGAAATCCATGAGAGAGGATTATAAAAAAAGGCAAGAATTTATTGAATATGTGGGATTAAAAAAGTCACAGTATATGATAACTGCTTTAAAAGGCTGCAGAGTTGATTCAAAGTAATAATACAAAAGACAATGTAAGGCTTATAAGAGTATAAAGGGGAATTTCTGCTTTTTTGTGGTCACTTTTGTTGTCTCATCACTTTTGAGTAATACTTGACTTAGCAATATCTCATCCAAATATTGTCAGAAAAGGATAAACCCATTGAATATTCAGTTTTGGATAAATGAGCATTCGAGTTTACAGACAAACGGAATGCAACAATGAGGCCCTTCTTTTCAGAGTCAGGTTTGTGAACACGCAAGCCTTCCCAGAGTAAAGATGACAACCAAAATAGTAAAAAAACAACAAAAAAAACAGTCCATTAAAGCTATATACTGTGGCTTTAAGAAAATGCTGTATGAAAGGTATCAGAAACATTTAAAGGTCCTATATTACGCAAAATTGTCCCTTCTGAGCTTTGTTGTTACCTCATCAAAAACATACACTACTGGTCAAAAGTTTTAGAACACAAATTTTTCCAGTTATTTATTGCAGTTCAAATTGTGCAAGTCCAACGAAGAGCTTGAAATGGTACAAAGGTAAGAACTGAATAGCCAGATGTTAAAGAGACAGTTCGGAATTTTGGACATGGGAACTCATTTCCTAGTGAGCCAGAAGGTTGGAAATATGTGGAGACATTTTTTAAATATTCCATCCAGTCCTTGTATTTGCAGAGGTCGCTGGTGCTAGGCTAGTGCATGTCAATGGCCATACTTATCCTGCCACTAAAAACAGTTTTACCCACTCCACAAAGCACCTGAAACATCCATCCATCCATCCATTTTCATCCGCTTATCCGGGGCCGTGTCGCGGGGGCAGCAGCCCAAGCAGGGACTCCCAGACTTCCTTCACCCCAGACACGTCCTCCAGCTCCTCCGGGGGAACCCCGAGGCGTTCCCAGGCCAGCCCAGAGACATAGTCCCTCCAGCGTGTCCTGGGTCTTCCCCGGGGCC